GGGCCCCGGCCGCCAGCCAGCCCTTCCACTCCTGCCGTCCTGGGGGAGCTGCTGCCCCCTGCCCCCCACCCCTCCAGTTCCTCATTTATTTAGGCTAAAAAAAAAAAGGCTTTATTGATATTTAATTAACATGCCATACAATTCACTCATTTAAAGTGTACATTCAGATATGTGCAACCATCACCACTGTCGATTTTAGAACATTTTCATGACCTCCAGAAGAAATCTGACATCCCTTCTCTATTCTCCTCATTCATTTAAAAACTCTCCAAGTGCCTCCACTGAGAGCAGTGATGCAGAGGCTTCAGATGTCTTTAAAACTAGATTAAAAGAAAGAACTAGAAAGGGCAGTTCTTTGTAGCTTGAGTCTGGTAGCTTGAACAATGTGCTCTGAAAATCCCATGGCCTTTGATGTTTGCTTACTCTTTGCTTAATTTAGCCCGGGCCACGTGCCTCTGAGGCCATGCCAGCCATTTGTGAAAGGTGGTTTTCTAGTCCTCATTGGAGCTGCCCCTGCTGTGTGACCTAGTTTAGAGCAGGGTGGGGCTGGCACTGTGTGCGTTTGGCCTCTGGATGCAGCAGAGGAAGCCAGAATTCTCTTTTCCCTTCCACGCTCCCACAGGGCACGTCCTCTCAGCGGCTCCCCCAGTCCCTCAGGACGTTGTGGGATATAGCACCGTGCTTTACACTTAATTAGAGTTAATTAATGACCTGTACGACCTCCACCCCCACAGGAACCACCCAAGCATTCTACACGTCTCTCTGGCATGGGCACGCACGCGCACACGCACACGCGCGGTGCCAAAGGCAGTGCACACGTGCAGGAACCAGCACAACCCAAAGAGCTCTCTGATGGGAACTGGGGGCAGCTGCCGCCTGTGGAGCCTGGGACCATCTGTTCCTCCTGTCCATCCCGAGAGGCCTCCAGCGGGGCCTCCCTTCCCCACAGGGTCCCGGTTCAGCTAACCAGCTGGAAGGCCTGATTTGCACAAAGAGTGCTCTTTTGGAGTCCGTGCCTTTGGAAAATGCTCAGAGACTGAGCTGGTTTGGGGAGGGAGGTCAGGGCTGCTCACCAAAGAGGGAGGGAGAGCCTTTCCCCTTTGGGCCACTCAGCGTCCCCTCTGCCGCCTGTCTTCCTCCCTGCCCTGGGCCTCCTGCCCTCATCCCACCCTGTTTCCTAACAGCATGTGACCCAGTGGGAGGGCTGAGGGGTGAGCTGGTGGGCTGGGGTAGGTGGACCAGGACGGTCCGCAGTGCCTTGAGAGTGGAAGGAAGCCACCCCGCCTCCCATGAGTGTGGCCCTAGACATGTCCCTGACCTTGGACATCAGCGCCTGCACCTCAGTTCAGCCAGGGGCCCCTTACACCATGCCATTTAATGCTGCGAGCTCATTCCCTTGCCCTACCCTGGGTGACAGACTGATCCTGCCTGGTGTCCTGTTTTCTTCGACACCCCAACCATGCTCCAGCTGGCTGGCCTGTCCCTTCATCACCCAGAGGAGCAGGTACCCAAGGTCGGAAAGGCTGCAGGACCTGGGAGCCTCTGGGAAGGGTGGCCTGAGGCCAGGCAGCTTCCTGCTCTGCCCAGGTCGAGTGGCCAGCAAGCAGCTCTTCCACTGAGCACCTGCCCTGGGTGGGATCCAGTGCCAGACCTGGGCAGGGCTGAGGGCTGGTGACTGCAGAGCCTCTCACATGGGAAGGGGGCTGGCCCTGTGCCTCCCGAGGCCTGCAGCTCCCAGGTCTGCTCCTGAGCGGCTGATTTTCATCAGCAGACGGTTTTCCTTCTGGCCACAGCGATAGGTTTCCCTGAGCCAGTCTCCTTTGTCACCTTGGCTTTGAGTAGTGTCTGAATTTCAGGAAGGAGATGGCTGTCACATCCTTCATTCCTCTCTTTTTGATACTGGAGATGGTTTGGGGAGATGGCCCCAATCTGAACCTTGGGTTCTTATCTTGGCTTCTTTTTTTCCTGTTTTCCATATTAGCTTTAATCATTAGTAACACATGATCTTTTATGAGTCTAAGATTGTTAATATTGTTTCTCATTTTACAGAGGAGTTACCTTGATTAACCTGTCCCCACACAGAGTTTTTGTTTTTGTTTTTAATTTTTATTGGAGTATATAGTTGATTTACAGTGTTGTGTTAGTTTCTGGTATAAAGCAAAGTGAATCAGTTATACATATACTTATCTTGGCTTCTTAAATTGTATCAGGCTGGGATTTTGATGCTTTGGTTCCAGCATCTCTCTGCCGGTGATCAGCAGGGTGACCTTGGACACGTCACATCACCTCTTCGGGCTGCAGGGTGTTTGTGAGGGGTCCCAGGCTAGGGCCCAGCTCTTGGACAAGACTTAGGGCCTTAATTTCTTCTGGGATTAGCCATTTTCCACTGATGACATAATGGGTATGAAGTGATACCATAGGGTATGTGCCTCCTGGAAAAAGAAAGACCTATCATAATAACAGCAGGGCTTACTATGTGCCTGGCATCCTGCTAAGCACTTTTGTAGATTTAGTTTATTTGAATCTCCAACCCCTCCCAGGCAGAGGATTCTCCCCCACCCCCAGCCTCCATTCCGTAGATGGAGGCCCGGAAGTTAAATGAAGTGCCTGAGGCCTGCGTGGCTGCAGGGAGTGTTCTTGACCGTGAGGCCTGACAGCCCCTCGCAGCCTAGTCTTTGATCTTCAGAGCTCGGAGGTGTCTTAAACATAGGCCTGCAGGGTTGGTTCACAAGTGGGAAACTGAGGCCCAGAGAGGAGGAGTAGCTGTGATGGGGCCTGCAGTCCCAGGCTGGAGCCTGGAACCCAGGGCCCTGCTGTCCCCATGTACCCTGAGGGCACCTCCCCCGGGAATCGTCCGGCTCCAGAGCTGAGAATGCACCCTTTGTGCCAGCACAATCTCTGATGAGACACGGGCCTCCCTGCTCTGAAAGCCCCGATGGTCGCTGCGAGCGTGGAGCTGGGCTGCCCACGCTCCCGCCCCATCCCTTCCTGCTGTGGGGCCCTTTGTGCTCCTCGATCCCAGTACAACAGCCGGGCTGTTGACCCAGAAGGCCCAGTGTGGCTGGGAGAGGGCGGCCTGCCAGCGCCCTTCCCGGTGGGGATTGTCCCAGCCCGAGGGAGGAGGCCCCGTCATCTCCCTGCAGTGACAGAGGGAGGCCCAGAGGAGAGTCAGGAGTCCTGGCCGGGCCCCTAACCAGAGCTGAGCCCTGCCCGGTGATCTGGGGAGAATCAGGCTCCCTCTCTGGGCCTCCTTATCTGTAGAACAAGAGCTTGGATAGGAGACAAGAGTGGAGAGAAGGCCTGGAGGGCACAGGGAAGGTTCCAGCACAGGCCTGTCTTTGGCAGTAGAAGGAGCGCCAGGCCAGGAACCTGAGCAGCTGAGTCCCAGCCCTGGCCTGGATGGGTTGTTTGATCTGTAAAGGAATGGGGTGCACCATTCCTGCATCCGATGGGCACTGGGGGTGTGGAAGGGGTGCTTTGTGCAGGTAGGGGCAGGGGCCACCTGGGCATGTGGGCACTCTGGTTCAATCCCGACTTTTGGGAAATCTCGGGTGGGACTCTGGGGATGTGTGCTTTTCTTCCTTTGTAATTTCTCTGTCTAAATAGACCATCGACTTTCTGAATGACAACATTCGAAGAGGAATCGAGAACTACTATGACGATCTGGACTTCAAAAACATCATGGACTTTGTTCAGAAGGAGGTGAGCCAGGCGCTTTGGGTCAGACATCTGCCTCCCATGCCCTTTGTCCCCTACTGGGGACCCGGCTCAAGAGGGTGGGGGTGAGGGTCACATGGCTTATCCATTCCCAAAGCAGGTGGCTGGCCACATTGGGAGGCAAGGGTGGACCATGGATGGCCGCCAAGGGTAGGGATGCCAGGGCCTGACCTTTTCAACCAGCTCTCTATCCGTGTGCTTCCCCCACAATATACTTGCCCTACCTGTTCCTCTCCAGGTGCACGGGCCCTCCTCTCCTGGAAAAAAACGAAGAACAAGGTCAGGGGTAGCTACAAGCCGCCTGGCAGTGCCTCAGGGTGCCCCTCTCCAGTGGGTAAAGATCCTCCTTCTTTGAGGTGGGAGCGACCTCCAAGCCACCCGGTTCGAAGTTCCCTCTGCCAGGACCCTTTAGTGATGGGGAGCTCACTGCCTTGCCAAGTCAAGGACAGCCCCGACGGGGAGAGAGCTCTTGCCCGATTCCGCTTCCCCCTGCATGGGGGAACAGAACAAGACTTCTCCTGTTCCTCGATGACACTTCTTTGAATGTGATAATTGTCATTTGGGGATGTCATCCCTCTTCCCAAGGTCCACCCAAACCTGTGGGTGTGATAATAATAGCAGTTGCAGGGCAAGCTGCTGCCCTCGGGGGCTTCTGCACATCAACCTCACTTAGTCCTCCTGAGCCTTAGCTTCCTCACCTGCCTCAAGGGGATACTAATGGTCCCTTCCTCTTGGCGTCGTGGTGAGATTGCCTCGACCTGTTTCAGAGGTGGTTAGAGCAGTGCCAGGCAAATGATGAGACCTAGGTCAGTGTCAGCTGCAGTGGTCATCATCCTCATGTCCTACTAGGTGAGGAGAAGCAGAGTTTGAGGGCCGAGCACCCGCTCAGCCCTGGCAGCGCTTCTTTGGACGTGACCTTGGGGGCATCAGCTGGCCTGATCTCCGTGCTAGCCCTCAGTGGGGACCAACATCTCGCTGCACCCAGGGCCACCCGTAGTGGCCACACCCTTGGCTCAGGCCTTCGATGTAGTCACAACAGGTGCAGCCTCTGGGAGGCCCTTCTTTGCCAGGGATGTGCCTGCCAGCTCTGGCCACCAAGTGGAGCAAAATGCTTTTATTGGAACCAACCTTCAGCTGGCTCGCAATTTTCATTTCTTCCAGGGTGGAATGGCGGGATGACTCACGCTCATCGGGTACCCTGCTTGGTGCCGAGTGCCTCATGCATGGCTTCCCTTTGTAATTCTCAGCTCAGCTGTGCAAAGCTGGCATTGCTCTTCCTGCTTTACAGTTGAGGATCTGAGGCCCAGAGAGTTGAGGATCATTGACTTGCCCAAAGTCACACAGCATGGAGTGGTAGTGTGAGGATTTGAACTCTGGCCTGTCTGATGGCAAAGCAAATGCCCTTTGCACTGTACCCCAAAGAGGCACTTCCAGATCCCTCAAACTGATAACCTAAAAGGCTCTATGGGGACTCTGAAAGGGTATCTGCTTTGTATTTTTACTAAGACCTTGGACCATATCACTCCCCTGGTTAAACCCTGCAGTGACTTTCCATCACTCAGAATACCATCCCAGCTCCCTGCTTGTTCTGGCTGACAGGGCTTTCACGGTCTGGCCTCATGTCCTCCATTCTCGCTGGCTCTGCTCCAGGCACACCTGCTGCTGAAATATAACTACCTCGTCTCTGTGTTGGGGTCTTTGCATGTCTTGACTGGCTTTTTCCTGTTGTTCCTATTTCAGATTAAATGACATCTCCTCAGGCCTTTCCCGACCTCCCCGCTCCTTCCCCTGTTTGCCCTGTATCCCTGGTACTCAGCACTACCCCCACTGTCCTTTTCACAACGGTGATTCCTCTCTGTCTCCCTCTGCAGATGTGTCCCATATGGGCAGGGCTGTGGTGCTTTTGTTCCCCCTCGTCTCTCTGGCACACAGAACAATGCCTGGCACACACCAGCATGTCAGTGGAGTAACTGCTTCCCCCAGGCGTTGGCATCTGTACAGGGGGAGATGCAGGGAGGGGCTCAGCTAAGGGGAAAATGATGCCAGCTGTGCCATCGCTTCAGTCCTGAGCCCAGGCCAGGGTGTGAGGTGTGTGCCCCTTTGCTAAGGGCAGGACAGGCAGAGCTGGGGCAGGTGAGGAGAAGGTCAGTGTGGTTCAGGGATCCCTGGGTTGTGGGGCTTCCCTAGAATCCTCGTCTCTGGGACCTTAAAGGCCAGCTCCTCGGGTTGAGCGCCTGCCCTGGGGATGTGAAGATGGAGTCTGGTTGTCAAGGAAGGATGTTCCCTCCAGTGTTTAGTCACCACCCCGCTATCCCACCAAAAGGCTACCCAGCCTTGGCTTGCATGCCTCTCCAGTGATGGGGCGCTCACTACCTGTTGGGCAGCCATGCTGCTTTTGGCGAGCTCTGACCCCACAACGGATGCCTCATTTGCTCCCTGTAGCTCCCCCTACCAGGGTGACCCCCATCATAAATCACATCGTCCATCCCCCGGCAGGGCCCCTCCCTGCCATCTGCCCGGGGCCCCGGCGGTGATGGCAGCTCTCGTCCTCGCTTGCTTCCTCCCTCAGTTTAAGTGCTGTGGCGGAGAAGACTACCGAGATTGGAGCAAAAACCAGTACCACGACTGCAATGCCCCCGGACCCCTGGCCTGCGGGGTGCCCTATACCTGCTGCTTCAGAAACACGGTACCCATTGCTCCTGGGCCTTCCCGGCTGGTCAAACGCTTCTCTCACCTTTCAGGACGGGTGGTGGGGATGGTTGGGTGCGGCAGGCAGGAGGTGGTGGTCATTGTCGAGGCTTCCTGAGCCTCAAGGGCTACTAAAGGGGGTGAATCTGGGAGGGGGGTGCGGGGAAGTCTTGTCTTATTAGTAACGGTCGTTAACATCTACTGAGCACTTAAACCATGTGCTGGCCTTTTCTAGGTTCTTTAGTTGTATTAACTCATTTAGTCTTTTCAACAACCCTGTGAGGTAGGTACCGTTATTTCACCCACTGTACAGATGAGAAAATTGAGGAACCAAAAGGTTAGGTGCTTTGCCCAAGGCTGATGGGGCTGGGATGAAATTCAGGCAGCCATTGTCAGAGCTGCACCCTGGACTCCTGTGCAAGCCAGGCAAGGAGTAGGAGAGGGCCCAGGCCGGAGGGCTTAGCAGGGTGGCCGGCTTGACAGCCGTAGCCAGAGAACCAGAGCAGGGCCTGCACTTTGGGCATTGCTGGTGGACTTTGGGCTTGACGTCTTGGTCACCATCAGCAACAGGGCATTTGGAAGGGGTCTGATGATGTTAACCGTCAGCCTCCGCCTCTCCCCAGTGGGATCCTCTCAGCTCTGTTGCCTCCTTAGCCACTTGGGAGGCTGCCCTGTGCTGTCACTGCTAATAAATGAGAGGCTTGGTCAGTCCTGTGTTTGACTAATGTGTCCCCAAACTGCATGGTTTTTGGGTTGGAATGAGGCGGAGAGCTTTGCAATTACTCACACCCTGAAGAGTCATGGAAAATTTCTCTTCTGATGCTCCACCATTCTGTGCCCACTTCCGGATTCTGTAAACCGCGCAGCTGCTGGTAGGGGTGGGGGCCTCACCCAGTGAGTCAGGGAGCCAGTGCCAAGTGCATTAGCCCTAAAAAGGCTGGACCAGGAGGGGAGGTTGTAGCTGCCATTTTAGGGTAGCTTTCTGTGCAAGGGGAGTGCTGGGGAAGAGCCCGGGTTTTTTAGGGAGGCCTACGGGGGGGTGACCGTGAGCTTCATCACCCAAGCCAGTGGCACCTGAAGGTCCAGGTTGAGATGTGGAAGCCCAACTTGTGTTCATTCATTCATTCAACAAGTATTTATTGAGGACCTGCCAGATGTGTTTCTACATTCTGAGGATACAGAAAACACACAGAGAACTTTTGCCTGCATGGAGCTGACATTCTTTCTAGTGGGTAAAACTGACAAGAAAAATAAATAAGTAAAAGAGGTAGTATGCTAGAAGATGATAAATGCTAAGGAGAAAAATAAAGCAGGGGCATGGAGGATTGCAATTTTAGATACTGAGAAGGTAGGTTCTCAGGAAAACCCTGAAGGAAGTGAGGGAGTGAGCCATGTGTCTCTGGGGATGGGAATTCCTGGCAGAGAGAACAGCAAGTGCAAAGGCCCTGAGGTGGGAGTTGCCCTGGTGAGTTTGAGAAACAGTGCAGAGACCAGTGTGGCTGGAGCAGAGTGAGTGTGAGGAAGGAGAGTGGCAGACAAAGTCAGGGAGGTCATGGGTGCCCTGATGGCCGTGGTCAGGACTTAGGTTCCCTTGAGTGACAAGCAGTCAAGTGACAGGGCTTTTAGTAGCTGAGTAGCAGATCTTACTTAGGCTTTACCAGGACCACCCTGTCTGCTGTGGGAGCAGAGGTGACGTGGGGAGTCTGGTTAGGGGCTAGTGCAGTGGTCCAGGTGTCACGGCTAAGGCTGTCCGGGAAGTGGGCTCCGACATGCTGGTTAGTGAGCAGGAGGTTTGGTAGGAGGTGCGCTCAGGATTGACACCTGGAAGGGAGGTGATGGGAGCCGGCCTGGGCAGAGGGAGAGGTTGAGCAACGACGCAGGCTCAATGGGGGCCTCAGCTGCCTCTCCGGGAATGTCCTGGGATGATCCTTCAGAGTTGTCCCATACTGGGGCAAGGGGAACAGGTCTTCATACCCTCCACATGCACCAGGCATTACATGAGGAGTGTCCCACCCGGAAGGGACTTGCTGGCTTGTTCAGCAGAGAAACAGAACCAATAGGGTGTGTGTGTGTGTGTGTGTGTGTGTGTGTGTGTGTGTGTAAAGAGATTTATTATAGGAAACTGACTCACAGAATTATGGAGGCAGGCAAGTCCCAAGATCTGCAGGGTGAGTCGGCAAGCAAGAGCCCCAGGAGAGCCAATGGTTTAGTTCCAGTCTGAGTGCACAGGCCTGAGAACCAGGAGAGCTGATGATGCAGTTCCTGTTTTCAGGCTGGCAGGCTCAAGGCCCAGGAAGACCCAGTTTTTCAGTTCAGGTTTAAAGTCCGGCAGGAAGAATTCTCCCTTACTCGG